GCTAGGCATTTTTTTTCTCCCAATTCCGGGCAACGGGACATGGAGATTATCAACCGGCAAAAAGGGAAGATGTCGGTGAAACGAGGAATAGGATAAATATTTAAATACCTGCATCCAGACTCGAGATAAAAGCGAAAGTGCGTGCATTGGGACGATATCCAGGAATGAAGAAAAAATGTGTATATAAAACTTATAAAAATTTTTTATTTAAGAAATAGGAATCTGGTGATCGAGACTAGGTATCAGTCGCGATTAATCGAATAAAATTTATGTTTAACGATATATATTAATTTTCCGGCCACGCGATGCGCGACTTTCGCTGCACTTTTCCGCATTGGCGACCGCAATGGCGGGGAAGAAAAAAAAAGGAAACGAGCGGCTAACAAGTTGTAGCAATCCATATAATTTGAAGATAAACTCCCAGGAGAGATCGGGGAAGTCCACCGAATGAGGAAGACCACTCAAAGACGTCAGTCTTTGTCTACTTCCGGTATATGCACTCGGTCTCTGTCAACTCGCCAATGTTTGCCAAGCTTTTAGGATTTCTCTCCGCATTGACACCGCTTGCCTGCAAACCGGGATAATTACGTAACGAAAGTAAGACGAGACACCGATAAAGATGAATAAACCTATGACAGCCGGCCGTAAAACGTGGTAAATTATCTGGGATATTGTCAATATTTTTCGCTGACAAAAAAGATGAAAATTTTGCATGCCTGATAATCACACGTGTTGCTCAATATATAAGCCATTAAACATGAATATCGCGAGACTCTAAAGACAAATAGGGTAATTGATAACATTTTAGCATATACCCGAGTCAAAGTATAAGGGTTGATAGCAAAGTCTGGTGCGGTCTTATCAAGCCGAAATTTCCACTGGAATACTATTTTCACGTGATATATTTACAAGTCTGCCTTAAAAATGTCTAAGATAAGCGATAAGGACCTCGATGAAAATCCCCCGATTACCGCATTATCAGGCCAGGGCCTAATCGCACTTTCCTCTATTCATCGCTTGTCCCCAAATCGTCGATCTTCCCCCGAAGGCGACCAATGGCGGGCCGAGAGGAGGTCACGTGACTCGGCTTCCTTTCTTACTTAAGCGACAGGAATAGTCCCGCCGATTTCCCGCGTGGTCGGTATCTGCGTCTCTCTCGCTCTCGCGGGCCGGCCGGTCGGGCCCTCTCTCTCCCACCTATGCGGGTCCGGCCTCTCGGCGCGCCGTTTTACACCTGACCCGTTGGTACGGCACAGGTTGTAGACGGTAAAGATGCCGGTTGGTAGACTTTACTCGAGGCAGTCAGCTGTGTGTCAGGGGGCCAACCTAACGGTCCAACACTCTTGTACGATCGCGACGTCCCTCGTCTCTCTTTCTCCCCCGGCCCCTCTCATTCATATTATACATATATATATGTGTACGCGTATATCCATATCCCCGATCCGAGGGCGAGATATACCGATATTATCCCGATGTGTCTCGTGTTTCCTGCATCGGATCTCCGATTCTTGATAACGAGATGTTAGGTTAGGGACACCGAGGAATATCCTACGCAATTCGGTGCAACCGCGAAATTACTTGAGCAGGTATATATGCGCGACGGCGATGCTTCTTAAACTCATTAGCGTAATAAATCCTTGGATGCGAGAATACCACTTTACGGGGTACAACATCGGAGAATTAAATCCGGAAAATTGGGGGCAACGCGAAATTACATGATGTACAAACTAGAGTACACGATAACGATGCTCCTCGCCCCATTACCGTCATTAATCCTCCGTTGCGAGAATACACGGTTTAACCGGTACAACCTCTGGGTACGGTTTTCTTAAGAGAAATCGAAATTTGCAAAATGGAAACGGGACCTACTTTTGCGAGACGTCTTTCCCCTTTTCTCTCGTTGCCGCCTCCGGCGATAAGGATCGGCCGAGTTCCATGTAATTCGGTGGTCCGCCATCTTTGTTCTGAGCGTCCACGGATTTTATTCGAAAGAAAAGAAATTAATTTCACGAGTCTCGAGCGCTGCGGAGGTTACAATTTCTCCCTAGAATCAAGGAAATGGGTCGAGGTGAAGGTACAAAAGCTTTTATCGCGGTTTTGAGGGACTTTTTCGTATATTTGACCGGTTTTCAGCTACGATTAATTCGCTGGGCTCCGGGTCCGCCATCTTTGTTCTCGATGAGCGTCCCCGGATTTTATTCGAGGAAAAATTAATTTCACAGGTCTCGGGCGCTGGGGAGGTTACAATTTGTCCTTAAAATCAAGGAAATAAGTCGAGGTTAAGGCTCAGGGGCTTTTTCTTCGGGTTTAAGGGACTTTTTGGGATATTTGACCGGTTTTTAGCTACGATCACCCGGTATGTCGAGGCCCTGCGTGCAGCGCGCGCATGCGCGCACTTGCCCGGGCCCCGAGGGCGAATCCGTGCGAAGAAGGAAACTGTGTCATCGAGTACGGTCGCTCGTATCTCGAGATTGTCCAGCCCGATCCGTGGGACCCTACTCGGGAACAATGAGTAATTCATTTTAATTATAATACCGATCGGCGAGAACCGTTACCCCTGTTAAGGCATGTTCCGGAGACTCGTAGATGTTTAAGATCAACCTAACCCCGAAAATGTCATCCGCGATGAACAAGAGTAAAAGAGAAGGACGAAAATCAAGACATATTATTTTCCCACATTCCCATCATTCTTCGTATACGATCATAAATTCATATAAATGCCGAGGTAATAATCAGAATTTCCGTTGAATTTTAAGTGATCATTTAATTCACTGCACGATTCATTAGGTATTTTGCAAATGGTGGATTTTTACAATGATTAAGAACCAGGTGGACAATTGGAGGCTATTGATATTCCTGATGAAGTGAAAGAATTTGTTTAAATGGTTTGTAAGGAGGGTTTCATTTATTCTTCACGATGTTTTTGCATTATATCGTTTTCGTTTAATTTTCAAGTACACCGTCGATTCGTCTGCCGAGTAATCTGGGGTAAACATTACTCATTCCTATAATCAGCTGGCTCCTAAAGTAGGGCAACTCGGTAAAAAAACGAACGCCCCGAAGAGCCTTTCGAAGAAATCGTCGAGATCGACTTCGTTGGCGATCGAGGAATTAAACGGACCTTAATGGAACGAGGGTCAGCGTTTAAGGTTACTTTACTTCCTGTTCGATAGTACCGAATGATAGAGAGAAAGAGGGAGAGAGGGAGAGCAGAGTCACTTTCACTAGTTTCACCAATCGAGACTGGCACCATTGGGTGGACTAAACGTTAATTCCTAATATCATCGACCATGAAAGATATATAAAAAAAAATGACAGTAATATCAACACCTTTTATTAGTTTCATTAATATATTTTGAATCCCCATAAGTGTAAGTGCACCATTCACAAAAGTGATAGAGAAAAATGAATTTATTATCGAAGGAATGCCCATACCTGAGGAATAAATCCGTCAAGTATGATTACTCGGGTGATAAAAGTGAACGTCTCGTGAAAATACATGCCATTCCTCCATCTTCTTTTTTTTTATTATCCTTTTCTTTGTTTTCCAAACGCTGAAGAGAGAAATCTCTCTCACTGAGTTGGGATAAAATTGCGGTAGGCCTTTGTACCTTTTTTTTACTCCACCGGAAAGTAATGTCCCTCCTCGTGGGCAATAAAATTCAATGAACTATTTGCCATTCAGTGAGCATGACTCCCTGAATGGCGCGTAATTTAAATTTTCGTCATTTCGGTCACGTCTAGTCCGACTTATAAAGATGGCGGCCTCACTTTCGTTCTCGACCACACAAAGCCGCCATAAAACGAGAAGAAAATCCACTCTTTATGCCCCTGTAAAGGTCGTTGTTATCGGTATCAATCATCCCGGCAAATGCGAGACAAGGTGTTACCGATGCTATCAATTATTACGGCCATGAACGTTGCTTTTTCGCTGTTTCTGGCTACCGAGATCGGTTTTATGATCCCCGAGGGTGATGGACTAACAATGGACCGGCGAGAATTATTCCACCCGATAATTGCATCGGTAATGAGAAATTGATAAGTTGCCGTAAGCGCGGCAGTTTACAACCCTAGTCATGTTTCTCGCTACCGAGAGTACAATGGCTTTATGACTCCCAACTACGGCAGGCTCCTAATTAAATAAGAACGGAATGCGCCGGTATCATATTCGACTGCACTTAAGGCCTGACATTAATTCTGCTTAAATTTCTACGGGTTATTAGCGCAAAAAGAAAATCGGCAAATTATTCACCGTGAACAAAAGGTTCGTTACGGTGCCCCTTCGCACTCTTCGTATTAAATTCCTGTACGTGAACTTTTACGCCGTAAAATGTTAACGAAGGAACATTTTCTGTCATCGTTTTATAACGTGCATCATTTAATCGCACGTTACGTTATTCAGTGCACTCGCTTAATTGCTTAAGCAATGCAATGTTTATGAGAAATGTAAGCAATTCATAAACACACCGTTTATGATTAGGGAATTCAGAAAGTATGCAAGTGCCTTGTTGAAAATCTGTAATAAATTCATATATTGCGTTCAGGAATATTCCGGCAGACTTTTAAGTAATAAGGATGTGTAAATTTTACGGTTTTTAGGAATCCTGATTTTTTTATGACTATTGTCCTGCTACAAGAAATTCCGAATTTTTATGCGACTAAATGTGGCGGCCTTTTTAATGGCGGCTTAAAATTAAGGAAAAAGAATCTCCGACACTTTCTCGGGGACGTGGAGTTCCTCGAGGGACGACTTCATTAATTTTTCATTAACAAGAGATTAAGCTCCAGGATTTTGCAAGACTGGTCATAAGTCTACTCGAGGAGTACTCGATCGTCTTGCAGTCGCCGTACGTGACTAGCGTGTTTAATGATTTCTTTCGCATTAGCGGTACGAGAAGCTACATACGGGCATTCCCGAGAGTTCAGCAGTACCCGACGACTCGTTACTCAATTAACCGCAATTACGCAAAGCTCTCCTAATAGGAGTTTTCTTTTTACAGATGCGAAAATTGCGCGAGAGCGAGAGGAGTCATCAGATTCGTTTGGCGCCTCGGCTAGAGGAGAAGATCCCGAGAGATGAGCACGCGGTGAGTACGATTCAATTTTCATTTTTTTTTTTTCCTTGCCCATGAAAAGAGCCCCTTAAACTCGCTATTTTTTTCCGAACACCTAAAGACACGTACAATTTTATAGAATTATTGAAATGCCGGGATTACGCGTTCGTTCTCCCGTGAGGATTTCATAATCACGCGTCCCGAGGATAACAAGAGAATTAATTCCTGCCGCGCTGGTCTTCGCTCAAGATTCGCATATATTTTTCATTTCTTATATTATTCCAATAATACAGGTGTATTCCACGAGTACACTAAAAAAACAAATTTTGTTTAAAAGTTTCAATGAAAATTCGCAGATCATTATTTTTTTCGAAGGACAAATATCTCATTGGGGTAATTACATTTTTACCAGAGGCGTTCTTTCTATGGCAACTGTGTTGTTCGATTCAAATGAGGATTGTTAGAAGAGGACAATTTTTTCCAATGAAATAAATTCGTTTTCCTCGGTGCATAAATAAACGGGATCGCGGAATGTGCAATTAACGGCGAGTATTTGCGGAAATACGCAGCCAAGGGTAAACATTCGCGGGATTCCCGGGTAAAGTCAGACACTCGGAGAGTGATTTAACCCCAGATGTAAATGCTCGGTAAATTGCGGCGAGTTTAATGCGCACTTTGCAATTTGTTAAAAGACACAGGGGGACTGCTGCAAAGGAGAATGCGACAGTTTGCCGGAGCTCGAGCGCCTTCGGGAACTCGCCGTGGAACAGCAGGAAGTCATCGAAGTCCTCCGACAGGCTATCAAGGTAATTTTCATTTTTTTTTCTCCCTCTCTCTCCCTTTCCTATCTTCCTCTATTTAACTCCGAACTTTTTTCCCCTTCTATTATTTATCGCCTCTCGACCGGCGGGGAAAATTAATCCTGAGATATGTACCTCCGCAGGATGCGAACAATGCTCGGCTCCGTCGTCGCGGAAGCTGCTCTCTGTTCGAGAAATTTGCATACTTCGCATCTCTTCCATCTTTTTCCTCGCTTTTATTTATACGCCAGTAGACCTTCTAGGCGTTGAAAACATTTCCTCGTGCATTATTCTCTGCATTGTTTACTTCGACCGCGTTTTGTTTAGACATTCCGAATTTGGAATAAAGTTAAGGAACCCACTTTTTTTATGGACTTACTGATTTAAATCCGACACTTGATATTCTAATTTGTGCACGGAATAATTACGACTTACAGTTTGGATCGTTGAATATTTTTTTAACTTGAGGTTTATGTCAATCTTCATGTCGTAGGAAGGATAACGATATTATTTGTTCGTTGTCTTGACCGATGGATTTTAATTTTAATATATAGGGAAGATCTATAGGGTTTGTATAGTTAATAATGAAGACTTCTCGTCGAGGTGTAAGATTTATTTTTCTGTCAGTCGGGATGCTGAAAGAGTTGAGCAAGATTCACCGAGTTACTTTGGCATGGAACTGTCCCTAGAAAATGGACTTTTCTATACATCGAGGTGCGTTCCAAAGGACAATGGACCTAAATCGATAGTAACTGTACCGGAATAGGAGTGTCTGAAAAATGAATAGGTTTTTGGGGCAGAAGAGGTCATGGGAACCTGTCGAGATGGTTCGCCGTTCCCAGACAATTCCCACGTGACTTCCGTCAACGTGCTGTCATTCCTTTTAATGTCACTTTCCTCCACGACGAATAATTCCACCAATTTAAAATCCCACCCCGAGAAGAAAGATTCACCGAACCTTAGAGACATTTCATTGAGATAGTCCCGAGGAAATGTTTCGTTGCTCGCAAGAATAATTATTGAAATTTTTTCTCTCGTCGAAAAGTGAAATTTCACGGGCAGCGCGTTCTTCCTCGGATCCTCCATAATCACGTGTTAAACTTTCAGATAATTCGGTGTACCGAGTTTGTAGAAATGTTTTATTAATATTTTGATTTTCTGGTACGTATGTATCACACTTTCATGTCACCTTAAACTAGAAAAATAAGAATAAATTTGGTGGAAGGGTCTCGGATAACGGTGTAACGACGATTACGCCATTGTTGGCCTCCACGACATGAACAATTCCTGCAACAATTACGCAAGACTCGGTATCGCTCCCGTGGGAAATGTATTTTCATTGACGGTCGCGTTTTACGCCCGCCATAACGCGGCTTGAAGTAAAAAGCACCGTTCCTATGAATTTACGAGCTGGATGGAATTATCCTCCACTTTTGCCGCCGCATTGTCCCCTCGGGAGTAATGTGCATCGGCAGTCGCGTGACGGCATAATTCCGACGATAATCCCGGCAATTACTTGCCGGTACCGAGCGGTCTTCCCGCGACTCGGGAAATAGGCTTGACCCCGAAGAGTCTTAAAATCATGTGAGAGTCCTTGACACGTAGTCAGGATCCTGATAAAGCACGGATAATGATAAATAGTCCTGGTCGCGTGGGACACTTCGTTACCTGTCGCAAATAATATTCATCCTGGTATAATTGAGCGAGAAAAAAAAAATCACCACATACGATCGATCCCACTCGATACAAAATTGTCGATTGACAACGCCCATGATTCCTACAAAGTCAATTTCCCTCGATTCGAGAAGTTTAATGAGGAAAAAAAACATTTACCTTGCCGCAATTAATTAATTTAACCTTACGGGTAAATGTCCCTCTAGAAAGTAAGTCGATTGGCGGAAACCGAATAATTCTTGCAATTTCTTGAATTCAGTACGATGATTCGTGGCTTTAATCGACCTTCCTCTTTTTCTCTCTTTTTTTTTTCTTCGCGATCCCCGTTGCTCCAAAAGGACTCCTATGAGTTCCTTATCAGGAGGCTGAGAAGTCCCGGAAGGATCGCGCCGATTTTATTTCCGTCCTCTATCTTTCCCAGGAGAAAGAGAGAAAGCTGGACCAGTTGTCCAACAAGAAGAGGAAAGAGGAGTTCTACAGACAGTGGCTGGAGTTGGAGCCGGTAGCGGAAGTGGACGACGAAGAGGAACACGAGGAGGGCGATAGCGCGCTGTCCAGCGCGCCCTCTTCCTTATCACCCCAACCTGGAGGATGCGGCCAATGGCAAGCCAATGGGGTGACAAGAGAAGCTTACGAGGCGATTCTCCTGGAGGTCGAAGAATTCCAGACGAAGCTTCTCGAAGAAAGACAAGAGTTGAACCATGCCAAAAGCCAAGTCCGCGACCTGGAGAAGGCGCTTCTTCAGGAGGTACTTCGGGGTCACTCCATTGAATCAATTTTCCTAACATATTCATTAATATATATATTTTTTTTCTTAATAAAAACAACGTTGAAGTGGTCAATGGTTTACGAAACGATCGTTATCGGACATTTATCTGGTATCAGGAACAGGACAAATTTTTTTTCTTTCTGTGCTTCAACGCGCTTGATGTACATAGCTTTTTTTTTTATATCTTTATTGAGAGACTTGAACACTAGTTTTTAGGCAATAACGATGTTTATGTGTCTTTTAAAGACTCGTGGCAGCCAGAACAGCAGGAGGGCCCTTAGTGACAAATTGCGAGAAGCTGAAGAGCGCGAAGCTTCCCTGGTGGCCGAGATCTCGGAGCTTCGGGAACAGAACGAGCTCTTGGAGTTCCGTGTTCTCGAACTTGAAGAGACCCCTTGCTTGCGAGACACCCCCGACCCTGCAGACAGTGGTATCGTTTCTCCGGAACCCATACATCTCTACAAGGTAATCCTCAGGTTCTTAACCTGCCTTACGACTTTCTCCAATCGTCACTGAAAATCCTTTCTAAAAATGGAAAGGAAATGTCTACTAAATCCGAGATTCGTTTCCTCGACGATCCTTGCAACTGATTTCATTCCGATGACTCCGTCGTGAGAAAAGATTTCAATTTTATGTTTTTTTTTTTTCTTCCCGGGTATGGCACGCTAATTTTATAACATTAACATCCTTCATTATTTTTCTTCACCCGAATAAAAGTCCCAGTAAAAAATAACCAGAAATACCAAGTTTGGAGAAAACTTAAAGTGTGTAAACGGCGGGTGGGAAAATAATTGAAATACTTTCCGTCAGTCGCAGGAACAATTGAACAAGCACAGAGACCGAGCAATAGCAACGGTGATCCCGTACAGTACTTACACCCGTCCAGTGTCATCGGTGCCCCAAAAGCCGGCATTATCGCTCCAAGAAAGCGGGATCTTCGAGGAAGAAGATGAAGTCGAGGTCGAGCTGGCGAGTCGCGGGACGCAGACGGAGGTTCCAGCAGGAGAGCTTCTCCAGGAAGTCCAAAGACTTCAGGAGCTCCGGGCGAGGATCCAAGAAAGAGCGGTGAAGGTCCCAGTAATGGACACAAAGAGCTGCTCGACATCTGAGATCGCAGAATCCTCCGAAATCTCGCAGCTAGCCGCCCAGCAGGAGCGAATCCGAGATTTGGAAGAAAGACTGAGCCTGTACGAGGAAGCCGAAGAGAGCCGCTCGAGGGAAAGGCAAATCTCAAAGCAGAGGGAGGAAGAGCTGCTGGACGAAAACTACAGGCTGACCGAGAGGGTCTACTGGTGCGAAAACGAGATTCGAGGGTTGACGGACTCTTCGGGAACTCCTTCGGGAAGTACGAACGAGGTCGGCACCACGATGGAAGGTTTCAACTCTGTGGTGGACCAGTCGAGCCAGTGGGAGAGCCTGGGAGAAGAAGAGACGAGGACTCCCGAGGAGAAGGTGAACCTTGAAGAGGATGCCGAAGTGGAAGGAAGCGAGGGGAAATTCCCGAACCACGTGGTCCCACCCTTGCCGAGGTGTCAGAAGATGTTCAGGGATCTGATGAAGACTCTGGACCAGCCGGATCATCGAATCGATGGGGAACTGAAGATCAACGGAGGGTACGACTTCTTGGGGGTGCAGACCTGCACAAAGACGGAGTGCACCGAGTGCAAGGAGTTCTGGAGGAACTGCTGCGAGAAGGTGCAGGAGTTGACGAAGACGGAGTGCAGCATGAGAGGAAGAATCGAAGATCTTGAGAGGAGGGAGAGGATCTTTGCGAAGACCTTGAGGCAGGCTGACAAAATGTGGTCCCAGGTGGAAGCTGGATACGTGGCGAGGCTTAAAGAAGTCAGGGAACAACTCGAGGAGAAGGTCGAAGTCAATCGAAGGCTTCTTCAGCGGTTCTTCGACCTTGAAGAAGAAGCCAGGACGAAGGCTGCCGAAGAGGACGGTGGCTCCGAAAAGGCGGAACTCTTCAAGGAAGAAATGGACGTGGAGCAAAGGGAAGAGCTCGTGGCCGAAGAACGAGTCGAGGCCGAAAAATCGACGTCCTTCATAACCGTGGAAGCGTATCAAGTTTCTTCCGAAGACATGGTCGACGGTCCCGAAGAGAAGAGTCCTTTACACAGGGTGGAAATCTCTAGATCCACCCAGACCGAGGTTGCTGCTTCGGATGGTTGCTGGTGTTCCGGGAAAAATGAGGAATCCGGGAATACGGCATCGATCAGGGTTTCCACTCTTGCCAAGAAGTCCGAACCAGCGGAGCCCACCTCCAGGGTGGAGGAGTCTTCAGGGTTCAAGGCGACGAATTACAGCTGCGTGACGGTGAGCAATAAAATTATTAAAAATCATTTACACGGTCGGACGACTCAACGTTCACCTTCCCTTATTTATTTTTATTAAACACGCTGGTTATTAGAACTCCTTGCACAATAGTTTATATCCTTGATGCACTTTTCCCAACATCTTATCCTAATTCATCGGATGCAAAAGGAAACCTCGTCCGTCCCAATTCTCTACCCTGTCCCTGAATTTTTATTTCCGATTCAGAAGCAAAACGAGTGTTCTCTTCAGGTGATGGTCCTCCCCGGAGACCTGGTGAGCCCGGTACCGGAAGTGGCCACGGAGGCAAAGGAAGAGACGGTATCCAACGAGGACCCCAAAGAAAGGACAGCGGAGGCCGAGGAAGAGGCTGCGGTCGTTACTTTTTCCGAATCAGAGCCCGAAAAGAAGGTTAGACCAAGAGAGAGTATGCAAACGAGGAGGAAGAGTGCGAGGTCGAGGCAGAGGGAAATCTGGGAGGGCTGGGCGATGAGGACGTGGAACGCGAAGGGTAGGTCAGGAGACGGATTTAGGGAAGACTCGAGACAGCGACGTCGACGATGGGTCCTCTATCAGGAGATCTGCGTTTAAAGGACCCCGGAAATCCGTAAAACGTAACCTTAAAGAGTCTAAGACGCAAGATGGTCGTCCCTCGACCCCCCGCGAAGCGACTCGCGTTCGTCTCTTGACATCGCTTAGGAACCTGAAGATGTTGGGCTCGCGCGGTCCCTTATACGCGGGGTGTCTTTTAACGAAGCTAATATACACGACTAGAGACATCGGTGCACCAGGTGGAACCTATTTCGTCCTGGAGAATTCGGAGGTGAGGCATTCTTTTTAGGTGGACTCTGATCCGAATGAAACGTGGCGCCAATTCTGGACATGTAAGAGATCCTTGCGATGTAATCGTCAGTGGAGAGGAGATAGATATGGAATATAGACGGAATTTAATGGCGATGACCACAGCTTAGATGGAGGGAGCTAGAGGTACCCATCGGTGGATGAAATGCGAACCTGGGAGGTGATAGAACCAAGTATGGTCTCCATTTCTCTCACGAGGTCACCAATCCCGTTTGGGTCAATGAGATGCCACGAGAAGTCTTCCCTGAAGTCAATGACACTCACGATGAACTGTTTGTCGAGCTTCAAGACCTGGATATGTGAGACTGCGAAGAAGTCGTTGCACATGGAAGGGATCAAGGGTAGATCCTTTTTAATGACATCTTTATCTAGGACGTCCTCAAGATGAATTCCTATGGTGATTGTCAGGCTTCAAGATCGGAAAATATGAAACTGCGAAGATGTTAAGGCTGGTCCTTGCACATGAAAGGGATAAAGGGTGGATCTTTGTAATGATACCTTTATCTAGGATATCTTTAAGGTGGATTCTTATGATCGAGTCGGGTGAATATTCGGTTATCCAGACGGAGAAGGAGGAATGTAAAGCATCCTTGGGGTTCGATCGAGTCCTGGGAAAGACTCGGGCTTCTCGAAGAGGAACGAAAGAGGGAGAGGAGTTGGAACGAGAGCCTTTTCTCGGGCCTTAATCCAAAATCCCGGTTTGCTGGCCGGTTCGACACTGGCCTAAGGTCAGTCTGTCAAATAGTCGCACCTAATCCGTATTTCGTTTTTTGCTCCGCTATCGCCAAAGTATACTCTACTTTCTTCACTCGGTATTTAGACTTTGTACGCGCATCTCGGTACAGGACAGAGTCGGGTAAATTCATTCCTCACCCTTATCCCATTCAGAAATTATCTTCGACTCCCCCGACCTGCCTAAACTCCGATTAATTGTGCAGAAATTAAACTTCCCGATGGCTAATAATTATGAATAATTTTTAACTTAAAATTAATTGGACCTGTGAATTTTTATCCCGTTTCCAATATCCTCGGAGTTAATAGACTTAAATACTGAGAGTTACTCCAGAAATTGGGATGATTTAATTTTTTTTAATCGTAAAATTTCACCGCTTTGGGATCATTTATCGTAGATCGAAGATGCGCCCCACTCTGTCTTTGCTACCAAACGAGACTTCATCGAAGACCGACGTGTCGACATCTCTCTTTATATCTTTTTTTATTTTATTATTAATTTTCACATTTAACAGCGGCTAACCGCGGATTAACGTCCCTTTGCTTCTGTCGGCTATCGCAGTGGAATTCTCTTCTTTTTTTTCATCGGCGTATAAAGGAATCGTCCAGACTTGTGCTCGACTGATTTGAGACTCGATTTTCAGCGGCACGGATGGAACAAAGTGATGGACGTTTTGCAACTTTAACTCGTAGAATAGATAGGCTGCAAACCTTTTCCTCTTTCTTCTCTTTGCCGACGATCGGTTTTCCTAGATCGGCGTCTTCTAGGTCGAAGAGATCACGCCTGGGAAGCAGAAGTTAATTTGCGCTTCTTTGTCTCGTCTCTGGTTCTGCTTGTGAAAGCGGTGGTGGTAACTTCGGCGAATTTTCTTCTTTTTTTTTTTCCTGCACGGATACCAAAAAGGATAAAGCAATAATCCGCCGCCATAATAATCTCATTCGATGCGATTATGCCATTACGTTAATTTATTCTGCGCACCTGGTAACAATTTAAAGTGTTGTGGCTCGTTCGGACTAAGGCACCCGGAATTGCGGAGTTCCGCGCCAAGTACATTTATCAGAGACGCGGGGCACATTAATTAATTAATATCACCGTATTAATTAATAACCATACAAGAGACGCGCCATTACGCGTATTTTCACGGATAATGTCGAAGAAAAGGAACTGGACAAACGACCGTTTCATGGAAGAACCTCTGTTAACACGTTTACATGAATACATGACAAATGGAGTGACTTACAGAACCTCGATTCTATAATATTACATTAAAACGCATGTAACAGGATTAATCGAACGACATGGTTAATGTTTGTCATTATTACACAACCAGGGTCTAAGGAGGAAGCCGCCTCGGTTTTACTAGACCTGCGTTTCATATTTTTTTTTCTTTTTTACCTTTAATCACATTTTTCACTTATCGATAGCTTTAAGCACCTTCAGGGATTATGACGCGCTAATTGTGCCTTGAGCTTTGTTACCAAATTGTACGTAATTGCACGCAAAGTTGGGAGTCTTTCGTATAAAAGTAATCGGGCCTCTTTTCCCTTAATTTTGTTGCACGGTAGAATTCGTTGTGCTGTTGGAATCTTCAAGATTTGAATTCTGAATTAAAAAAAAAAAAATATATGGAAGAGGACGGAAGTTTGTTTGTCAAATTCTCGATTTGATGGAAATTTTTCAGAATTTCTTAACATTGGCGAAAGGGCCAATAAAATGCAATCGACCGTTTATCGTGGATCGCTGTATTACTCTCTCGCTGTATCTTGACATTAACGCTAATAATTTATTTTAAACATTTTTAACCGTCACGGTATCTCTAATAGTAAATCTACACCACGATCGTTTAATTGCACCGAATTTAACGCAATTCACTTAATATTTTTAGGTTTTGTTAATCTTACTGATCTTTTTTTTTAATTATTATTAACTATCTCGATATATTAATACGGCATCTTTTTCACTGTACAATTCTGCCAGTGAAGTACTTTCATGCTACACGTGAAATTCAAGTTTAATTTCTGTTATTTGGTTTCAGTTTAAAGAAAAAAAAAAAAAAAATCACTTTGTTTACCGAATTGCTCCTCCGTTTATAAAGTAAAGTGCTGTACAATTGCTTCCGCCGGTACATTGAAACTGATGCATTTTCTCTGAATCGTCCTGTAGACCACCGATTGTGCTTTCTGTATATTATTTTCACTGTACGTAGTTAGGGGTCCTTCCTCGCGAGAAAGCCACAACCCAAGTCAATAGTTACTAACAACAGCAAATTAAAATGAAAATAAGTGCATTCAGTTAAAAACCTCCCAAGATGAGTTTCTCAATGCACGACTTGGTTTGTTTCTTTTTCCCTCTAGTATTACTTTGCGTAGCCCGCAGTTGAAAAATTATCATTAATTAATTATACCTACATCCTCTCAGTCGTCAAGGATGCTTGGAAAAAAATTCCACTCCAAAGTCCTAAAATAAATAAACACTCATTGAGTATTATTGAGAGTTTGGAGGCATCCTTGACGATCGGAGGTGGACACTAATTAATTCCTAGATCACTTTTTAATCGAGCCTTGACCTATTGCGACAGATCATCTACTTTCGCTGGAGGTGAAGGTTTCGTCCTTTCTTCTACGCGATATCACTCGGGGACAGTCAAGGTGGCTTTCCACTCGCAGGCGAATCGCGATTCGCAATCGTCACTTCCTGCAGGACATCAGCGAAGCGACAATCGCAAAACGCATCGAGAAGGTAGGAAAAAATCTGGAAAAAAATTGGGAATATTCCTTGCAATGTTATATAGACATTTTAGAAGAAGACAATTGCCATAGAGATTAACGCACCAATATCATTAACGATCTCCTTGTAATCTTTTTTTTTACAGTTTCCTCCATGGGACGACGCAGCTGGCGTTGCTTGGCGAAGCCAAGCACTGGTCCAGATATCGAAATCCCGAAACGAGAATCGACGCCGAATTCGATATCGAGCGGAGAATCGCTCATTTGCATATCGTCCGCATCGTGCGAAAGATGCCCCTACTTTTTTGTAACCAATATCGTAGACTATATTTATCACGACTAGTAGACGATCGAAGCTTTGCGAGATTTCCCCCGGTAGGAACAACGTTGCGATTGGATGCCTCATTTCCCTATTTTATTGATAACGTATATCGAGGTCGGCAAATAATCCAGCCTCGATTATTCGCCAACCTTTGCGTGCAAGAATTCGGCTCGTTGCCTAAGAATCGCACTTTGACCAATGGCCGTTTCTTGCGAGTGATTCCATTATCTTGTGCCTTAAGATTTATCTACACATGTATACACGTCATTGTTCTCCGATAAAGCTTCGCGAAGTTTGCGCCGAAAGAAATGAGCGCTCGAGATTAAAGAAAAAAAAAAAGAAAAAATACATATCGGGCAGGAAAATTCAAGATTTAAAGATATCGCCATTCGTATTAAGGTGTTCTCTTTGACCTCTCGAAATACCGAAACTCGACACCTCATTTCCTTCGCCGCAATATTAATTATTAACTCGCGACCCCGCGTGCTGGGAAATAATTCCTTTCGGAACGCGCAGGCGAGGTCGCGTTTTCTCGTATTTCTCTTTACCTTTGAACCGGAGCGAAATAATCTAACAGAAAAAGAACAGCAGCCATTCGCTCTGTTTCCTTGTAATTCCATCTCCTATGTGCCTTAATGTGTAATCTGAAAAATATTTCACGAAAATAGTCGAAGCGAATCGATTTTGTACATTCTCTCCAGACACTCTACGCAATTGTAATTAGTTATCCTAAGTTGCGGCTTTTTTTCTACACGCGTCTTTACTCGAACTGGTTCGCCATTTTCTCGAGTTCATGGCGATACGAAAGGGTCATTCAATATATATATCAAAACGTCAAAATATTTATACAACTCGTCTCCAAATTGGATGCAACGAATCATTTGAAATTTCAGCACGTGCTTATGAAAGCCCTAAGGCTTCGCAATGCCCTTGAAATTTCATTTAAAAAAAAAAGAAAAAGAAATGTGTTCATTTATCCCAGACTAGAACCAACCACATGTGCATATATTTTTTTTTAAATAAATTTAATTTGCATCGCGTTCCTCCTTCGCGCTCATAAGACCTCCATAATCACGTGGTGTGGTTTAAAATAATTTCGTGCATTCAGTTTGGAAAAATGTTTTATACATATTTTGACGTTTTGAAGTATATTGAATGACCCTTTAATAAAACTTTAGGTGCGACTTTAATTATAATTGTTGAGAGAGATTTGTTAATATGTATGACTCGCCAGTTGAGATCGACAATAATTATACGTAAGTGAAAAGCTGCCGCGAGTAAGGCGAATTCGTTACTCTGAGTATACAAGCTATAGCTTAGTATATAGGCATTGTCCTCTAGTCGAATTTTCATTTAACCCTTTATGTTAATTTTAATGACTACGAGGGCGTTACGCCCGATTGGCGTTCTTCTTTCGGGCGAATCCCAAGTAACGGCCTAAGTGCGTAATTTAATAAGAAGTGCACGTATACGAGTCGTCCGTGCTTCCATTATCTGTAATAATATGGTAACGTTTACCGCAATACGAAAGTAGACTGTACGTGGTGCCTCGTCACGATGTAGAAATAATGTAGTCTCTTCTTTTGCAATGCGCATAAGTCGCCCAATAAAAGTGTTTATTATAATTATAATAACTCTTGTTAAAGTCTTTCAATTCCGTGAGAGAAATTACTGTCGTAGCGAGCGCGGAGGCGCGAAGCTTGGTAAACTAATCAATAAACTGACAAACAATTGAATATACCAAAAAAAGTACGAATCTCGGTCGTAATTATATGCTAAATATTTTATTCCTTTATTTCTTCCGTTGGTAAGTGCAGAGATTTGATTTCACATTAATACTACGTGGCACTTTTCTAACCATTAATTAAATAAAGCCATTAAAAAATAAAAGGTACTCCCCTTTATCGACCTCCCTTGTTCGCAGCGGCGCTACGTGGTTCCGACATCCACCGCGAGACGGCGTCACCGATCCGCGGGTCCTTCAGAAAATATCAATAATTTCGCGTCAAATCAGCAACCGCTTTCGCAAGAACTGCGTAACAAAGAAATGACCCCCTTTTCCTGTCAGGGATGTCGTGAACAGCCTGGAAAATTCGTCGCCTAAATAATCCGAGCGAACCGCTGCAAGAAATCTGGCGAACCGTAACTTTTCGACGGATCAACGCAAGTCAACCGGATGCCGAGCGAAATTGTGTGGGAAAACGATATTCCTCTCGGAAATATATTCTGGTATCGATAACCCCACGCTTTGAGAAAAACCGAGCACGTGGAGTCCCGTAGGAAGATCCATTCCACGTTTACAAAATTTCTTAGAGCACTTCATGGATAGAATACGTACAAAACCTCGGCGTGGGCCAGCTTCTCTGCGTCTGTATGCGGGAAAAATGCGGCGGCCATCTTGGATCGTTCAAACACCCGTGGCGGTTCGATGCATCCTCCTGGTCGTCGAATAATTCCCCAGCCTCGAAATACAGAAATCCAGAGTTGCAAGTCGGGTGAAAAAATGTCGGGAAGCTCGAACGGCTGCTCGCGGGATCGAATTTACATGCGACTTTGGGTAGATATTAACCGAGGAATGAACTTACCCGACGCGGTGCAGTCCGTTCGGAAAGTTTCTCCCGCATGGCCTCGAGAAATCTCGTCATGGCTCCGTGGGGAGGCGACATTCGCTATGGGGCATCGTAAGAAAAAAATGCAGTGTAAAATATCGACCCGATCTCGCGAGTTGAATTTCCGTCTACGACCAGGGGTTAAGAAGTTATGGGCGAAGGAAGTCGGGCACTTCGGGGCAGGAGACTCGCGTTCGCTCGGCGTGACTGTACCCGAGACGCAGCAGCGAAGCCAACTGCCTGCGCGTACACTCGCGCGCGGCGGTACTCTCGCACCGCCGCGTCGCACCTCCTCTATCTCCCCAGGATCGCGGAATTCCGCGCGAGGGGTCCTTACGAACTTGTAGAGCATAAAAAGTTGGTCCAATTTGGTATACGCGGTTTCCCTCTGCGAGGCCCCGTCCAGGAGTTATCGATTTCCGAAGACGCACGCGGTGCACCGGAGCGCGCCACTTGGCGTCCCGCGACTGTACCGCGGGCCGAGAACCAATCGCGGCGCTCCTCGCGGCCACGAGCGGAGATAATCAAATGTGTGGCTGCGCGTTTAATCGCAGCCACCCACGGAAAGCCTTCCCGAAAATAGAAGGACTGATAAAAACGCTGCAAAAAAATATCGAGCCCCTGACTTCGATCCTTTTCGGTCATAGAATGGCGTTAAACTTTGCGTTTCACAGGAAAGGACGGTTCCCGAAAATCGTGGAAGAATCAGGATCGTAGCCAGGTCACCGGAGTGTACCGGAGTCTACTTGGAACGCCGCGTAGAGCCCCACGGTATCGGTACAGTCGCGTCAGCCCGCACTCTCCCCCAGTCTCCGGTAAATCCTAAATCGACCTCTCTAATCGCAAAATTAAGCGTGGGGCGTCATGAGAAACTTGTCGAGAAAAATAAGTTGACCCGATTTGGTGTATACACTGGGCCCGAACAACCCCAGGGTGAGGAGATATCTCCTTGCATAGGTGAATTTTCGGGCGTAGGCGACGAGTGGCGAGTCGCGCGAGTGTACCCGCGGACGCCGCCGGCAGCCACGAGCGCTGGCTCCGAGTACAGTCGGGCGCGAAAGCGCTGGAGACGGCGGATTTACGAGGGCGAAATTCGAGGGGCGGATCGCCGAATTGCGGGTGGCGGGTCATGGGAAACTTGTAGAGGAGAAAAAACTGGCCCGATTCGGTGTATATCTTATTCGTCTAAGGGCCCGGGATCGGGAGATATCGGGTCTAAAAGGGGGGCGCTGCGAGCGGGCCGCGCGCCATTGCTGGCGCGGACTGTACCAATGGACGCTACGGGAGCCGCGGCCGGCATCGGCTCAGTTGGCAGCAGAACGCACACCGAGCAGCACCACCATGGCCGATATCTCCAAGGACGAGCTCCGCAAGGAAATCGCCGGTAAGTGGGAATATCCTTCGATTTACCGCACCTGGGGGACTCGGGCTAGCGGAAAGGAGCTCCTCCCGAGGAGACGCGCAACTTTTTCGGGGCCGGCCTCTTAGGGATATAGGGGAAAAACTGGGGGTTTACTCTTGGAGCCGCGGGCCGAGGCTCGCTTAGCGCGCACGGCCCGATGGCGTGCCCAGCGCCGGCCATGTTACTCGGCCGTTCGCCCCCGATGCTGCCTTCCACGTATGTAGGGCCCAACGGGGCTCGCTTATCGAAATTCCGCCTCGGCCGAGAGGTGCGAATAATTATTTTCGAATTTAGTGCCAACCTGGCTCGAGCTCCAACTCGGCCCCGTTTCCCCATTATTCCAGCTTTCCCGGGAGCGTCCTTGTGCGGGACGTGTGTGACGCGTCCGCGCCGCGCGCGCCAGTCCGCCGTCTCGCTCGCTTGCGCGTTCGTGGAGTAACCTGCGCGTCGTACGTGGAAATTATTTACCGGGGCCCGCGGACCGCTCTGTTCTGGATTTCGTGGAAAGGGCCAATTTACGCCAAAGGAGGGGCGGGAGGATGAGACGTGGTCTCTCGATTTCCGAGACCTACGGCGACGCGTCGAGGCGCGTCAAGTGCGGACGCGGCGGGTTTCTCGGATTAATACCAGACGCGGCTAAGGCAAGGCGAAAGTGAGACGACGTAATGACCGATATAACTCGACCGATCGGTTTCTTCCTCGATTTGCCGCGCGTTAGTGGCGTGGTAATCAATTCTACCAGGCGGGATCGGCGGGGAGGTCCGCGCGGCGCTTCCAACCGAAATGCGTCGCGCGCGCCATCGCGATCTCGATAGCTTGACTCTTTGCTCGGTATGTACGGAAGATGCGACGGAATTTATCCCTTATTGAGGTTAGGTTCCGTTTTCGGGGTAGCGAGATGTAAGGAATCGTTAACTTTGAGGCTTACTGTCAGAATTCTACGAAACGGTCCGAAAACCGGGTGCGATCGACTGTACCGCTCGCCGCCATCTTGGACGCCATCTTGGATCGCAAGCGAACGCGGGAAACTGGAATCAGAACACGGCTGTGGAGTGCGGCAGGTGCGGTCACTGCACTGCACACATTTTCGCGGCAAACGAATGCGCGATCACGCACTCCTTCCGCTCTGAATTGTCCATGGCGAGCGCTCATGATCTAATCATTGTTATACGTAATTTTTAAACTTAAAATAGATTGGATTTGAAAAATGTCGCGAAATGGGACATTCTAATTGTTTATCGGAACGTTCAGATTTCAATTTGAGACATTCTGGACCGATTCATTCCAAACTTGTATTTTTTAACTAACTTTTCCAGATATTCTGTTATATGTAGTTCTTAAGCATGAGAGAAAATTGTAATTTGAAGAAAAACTTTTGATCGATTTACCGAGTATTAAAAATTAAATTTAATTAATAAATGAATTCGCAATTGTTACAGCCATCCTTAAGGATGCCGACCTCACAACCATGTCTGCCAAGAAAGTCAGGCAACAGATTGAAGCGAAACTGGACATAAACCTCTCAGAAAGGTAAGAAATGGAAGATGACGAATCGCTGCGCTTTGGGTACATATTTAATTGCCGTTGTAATTTCGTGAATACATGCCATTATCCTAATTATATGGGAAAGAACAGTTACGTGCAGACTCTTCCTATGTCTGTCAAGACATGTACGTTCTGTCGATACCCTTGGCCGTGCTATTGACCGTGCTAATGCCGTTTCTCCGGTATCTGTTTTGTCTTGAATTTTCCATAATGTGACCTTACGACCTTATCGGATGCAGAGCAGGCGCTCGTGTGACTAGAATGTCGCAGGAGTGAGTTTAACAGCTGCATCCAAGATCAAACGGAGAATCTCTGTGTGGCGACTAACACACCCCAAGTCGTCACCTCGTTCCTTCTCGGACAGTTTTCATGCAACCACTTATGGCGATATGAAAGTGGCATAACAACTTGCCCAAATAAAGAGGAAAAATAAATAACCCAAGGGATAGGTATCCAATGTGTTGCATTTCCTGTAGTTTAATCTTTTTTATTTATACAAATTATGGAATATAATAGCTATCCATATTTTCAGTCGCATACATTTAAATGACAATAATGGGAGGTTTTTCGATAAAAAAAGAATGAGTTATACCACTTTCATAATTATGGGCATTTAAAGGGAAATAGTAATTTAACCTGTAATTTTCTACGATTCCAGGAAGAAGGAGGTGGACGACTTAGTCATGGAAAGTCTGCAAGAAAAGCAGGACGGTGGCAAAAAGAAGAAGAAGGCTGCCAGCGAAGAGTCTGAAGACGGAGAGGAGGAGGAGGAGGAGGGTTCGGAAGAGGAGGAGGAAGAAGAGGAAAAGAAACCCGCCAAACGGAGTCCAGCCAAGAAGACAGCCACCAAGCGTAAAGGCTCGTCCGACGACGAAGAAAGCGCCAGCGACGACGACGCGAGCGATGAGGAGTACAGCCCCAAAAAGGCGAAGCCCGCCCCCAAGAAAGGTACAAATTAATACAGTTGAAGAAAAGATTCGGGCAGATCAACGCAACCTGAGATCTAAATGAACCCATTATCTCGGAAGAGGTCATTTCTAATCGCTAATGATAATTCCACAAATTGATTGGAATATATTTTTTAACATTTTAATGCCGAACTCTCCTCGAGATGAATTTCTGGCCCTTGGTTCTAGATATTGCTCAAATACCCTATCGAGGCTACATTTCCTTGCGATTTATTAGGCGTACTCCAGTGGGTATAATTTTTGTTTTCTTTTCAGAAGCAAATCAAGCCAGCTCCAAGATTGTTTAAGTTTAACGTACCTTTAATGGCAAAGTGGATCTTTAGTTGTGCCGCAGTCGATGCGTCGTTTAATTTGTGAACACCACGTGTGGTGCGGGCTTTTCTAACAGTGTACAATTTTTGCATTAAACTTGATGTTAATGTACTTTTGGGAGGACAGTGATTAGAAATAACCATACTGTGATGTTCGGCCTGTTTCGCCGAGTTCGATTTAATCTTACCTGTCGATAACTCCAGATTGGGTGGTTTTAATCGCCTTAATTTGTTAATGTTGTACCTTTCAGGCAAGCCCAATAAGAAGGGCAAAAAGAAGGGCAGCGACAGCGACAGTGACGAGGAGTGGGGAAAAATTAAGAAGTCCGGAGGGTCCGGCAAAAAAGGTGCCGGCAAAGGTAAAGGTGGTGGTTACACGCGTGCCATCCTCCTGTCGCCGGAACTCGCCTCCGTTGTTGGTGCGGAACGTATGGCCCGACACGAGGTCGTCAAGAAGGTGTGGAGTATCATTAAGGAGAGGAATCTCTACGTAAGTGTCTTCGTAACAGTCCTACGTAAAGAAAGTTCTCTTCACCGAGAGCCGAAATAATTAAGGAAAATTGCATCGCCGGATCTCATGACCACGTTCATGTCGGGCGATTTCAAATAATTAGGTACACTCTCGGTTTGAAGAAAAGTTTGATAAACGAGATTCACTCGTGAATGATTTTGTATTAACTCGAGTACGTACTTTCAGGATCCCAAGAACAAGCAATTCGCAATCTGCGATGACGAGCTGATGAAGGTCATCGGCGTGAAACGCTTCAGGACCTTCGGTATGATGAAGTACCTCAAGAACCACTTCGTAAACTAAGTCGTCCCCAGAGCCCCCCCGCAGATCTCCGACAGATAATAAACACTGTATAACATGTTCCGCATGGCAACGCGCATCTTTCCATCTCGTACACGTAGGCCCCAAACACGTACACAGAGACATTACATGAGCGCGCGTGACATACACTATGCAATGACATGAATGAAAGCATACACGTACATATATATACACACATATATATATACATAACATACGTGCAACACAGCTCTCACGAGTTAAGACTTCAGCTACGTCTCTGTGCAAATCGAGGCCTGGCATTTCATCGACTTCCATTCTAAGTCTCCCAACTGGGAGACTCGTTTGCTCTGCGTGTATCACCTTCCGCGGAGGCGTTCAATTTCTTAATTTATGGGCATTATTACCGAAACTTGCGTAGCGGAACGGTAAACATTTCTGCCGGGCAGGGAAGTTAATAGATGGCCGCGCGATTTTGCGAGACGAAGGAGAAATTGCGAGAAAATTGTGAGAAACCATTCCTTGAGGAGCCTCGACCGGGCGAGCAGGCTCTGCCGAAGACTCTCGTCGGGCCTCGATTTGCGTGGATGCAGATTACGTTGGCCAATAGTCAGTAAGCCGTTTTTACGTTGTCAAATTATTCCGAGGTGTGTAACCCAATACCGTCTTATCGTTTTGAGCCGCGACGGTCTCTACGGACTTCTGTAATTTACCCAACGATTGGCTTTTATTAACGTGTAATGGCGACTCTCTGTGCGGCGATGATGCTCGTGGAAAGGTGCCCCTTGTCGAGGTACACCGACCCTACTAATACGCGGGGACGTGCTGTCGGATTGGTCGTCTCTTTGTACATTTGACGCCGGGATTCCTTGGGCGAGAGGGAACTTCGATTTTTAATCATTGACCTTAAGGATGTTCAAGCCTGTGAGGTCACCGATCGGGCCCCCCCGACGTGCGACACGACACAATTCTTATGGTTGGCTTAGTTTACAAGGATCACTTGGTATGCGTACTGAAGCTGTTTCATTAAATTCAATGTGCAAACGGTGTACCAAGATGGGGCGTTACGCGCTTCTCGAGCGCACTGTATCGAGTCGATTTACCATCGCTCTTCCTAATTGTTTGATCAATTCGTGTTTCTAGTAGGCGTACCGAATGATCGGTGTAAACTAAGCCATTGACACACGTCCAACTGGCAATCGATCTCGGGCCTCTTAAGGCGGTATCAAAGTGGCATCCGAGGTAATCAATTGTTCATGAAATTTCACCTAATTCGACGTACCGAATTACTCGAGATTTTATTCCGCTAACCCGGAGACCCTAAAGAAGGCCCCGACAGTCATGAGATTTCATGTTTGATAAAAAAAAAGAAAGTAAATAAATAAAATGTCTATAAACCGATTTGTAAAAAATGAAATTTCATTTATGTTAAAACCTTCCTTAGGGCCTCCACGGTCGGGTAAAACGTCAAACGTTTCGGTACACCCAGCTTGTAGAAGAGGTTCATTAATGAGACCTCTGGACATCGTTTTCATATCGCCTTATGATAAAGGAATATGAAAATGGTATCCGAAGGTGTTTTTGTTTACGGGGCTTTTCTTCAAACCGAGGGTACCGAAAATCGTTTTAAATTTCACCACGTGAATATGGAGGCTCGGAGAAAGGTTCTGACACCCATGAGACTTCATTCCTTTTGAATTTGTGTTAATAAGCATTTAAACATTTTTTTTTTTTGTTATCAAATCTGAAATTTCAAGGGTGTCGGGACCTTCCTCCGCGCCTCCACCCTCACGTGGCGAGATGTCAGACAATACGGTACACCCGGTTTGCATAAATATGTTTCATAAATGATTTAACGTCCTCGGATGCGACTTTCGTGTCGCCTTAACATGGAAGTGAGGAAAAGCGGGAAATGTACGGCGAGGAAGGTCCTTTTAAATATATGCCGTAACGCGTTTTCACGATCGGTACCGCTTCAAGCCGTCGCCATCCACGTGCCTTTCGGTTTCTCCTTTCCATTGATCAGTAAGAGAGAGAGAAAAAGAAAAAAGAAGAAAGGTAAATCCCTCTTCGTGAACGTCGACGAGGAGAGACCCGAAACGGAAGACCGAGGGAAATTGAAATGCATAACATAAATAGGCAGGCACGGATTAACGAAAGGAAATCAACATCTTGTACCTCTTCTGTATAATAGTTACATTATACACGGAAATTAATTACTAAGCGAAGTTTAATTGTATTAACGTGTAATTACTAAATATCGTCGTAATTGTAGGTTTTTTTTTGGTGTAAAAAAAATTGACCTAACTCGTAAGACTTAAGGCGTAATGCGTATAATGTATTCAGCGAAAAAGAGCGGTACGACGTGGGTTGGTCGTATTTAAGTCAAGTGTGCGGATCGAGCGTTCGAGTTAGAGTATAATAAGCGTTAGGGTTCACGAGGTCGAGGTGCGGAGGTCTCGATATATCTGCATCGATATATCGGCCCGATCTGCCGGTCGGTCCGCGCCTCGATGTGTGGAGAAACTTGTGTATTTTGAATATAAATTAATTAACGCTGGCCTAAGGTATATGTCGTATGGAAGCCAAAAGGGGCGAGGAGAGACTAAAGAACTAATACCATTACCGGACACTGTCAGCGGTTTCGGACACGTGAGACACCCGCTATTAAACGCGATATGGACATTTTATGATTACACGAAAGAGTGACGAGTAATATTCTTTTTGAAAGATACCGGATTAACTCCATACGCACCGCGATGTCTCGTATGTGTACTTGGAAGAAGAACTTGTCTGATTAAAAATATTGCTTTCATATATATATTTTTTTTATTATTTTTTTTTTATTTTTGAGACACCTCGCATATGCTGATAAAGAATTTCATTTATTGAATGAAAATAATCGAACAATGTTCATTTAGATCGAATAACGATTTCGGACGAAAATTTGATTTGTCATACTGATCATATTCTGGTGATTCGATAATCCTGATTATTGATATTTTCGAGGGGGTATGGCTTATTGATAACACCCCTTGTCAACGTCTTTAACTCTGAACACGGAGCCGTTTCGACGTATGGGCGAAATTCGTCTGACCGTGCAGGCAATATTGGACCTAATGTCGGGCGCTCTTAGTAGCCAAATGGCTAAGCCGATGATCCGATTAGAGGGCAGGTTCGTTTCTTCGATCTCGTGTACCTGGAGGAATTGTTACAGGTGCTCCAACTCGTCCTCCGCGAAGGAAAGGATGTGCTGTTTGTCGTCCCGTCTTCCTCGCAAACCGTAGATGAACGTCAGCAGCTTCTTCGTGTTCGTCCCGTTGTCTCTTCTCGTCTGGACCTCTTCATTTTTTGGAGGCACCACTTGGACGTAGACGCCACTACGGAAGTGCGACTTGTTCGTCTGGGTACTCGTTGTCGCGGATCGGCAGATCGTAGCCTAGAAAAAAACGAAAAATTATTTACAAATCCCTTTTAATCATCGTTAACGCCGGGTGACGGAGTCACCTATGTCCTTGTATCGACATTTTTTAATGGCTTCTATTTTGATCCGCCCATACTCTACGTAGCGCCTTACTATACAGTTTTATCGCAACCAAAGGATTTGCTTATCAATTGTACGATTTGCTTATAAATTGTACGATCTGCTTATAAGTCGTACGTTTATAAACAAATAGCTAATGTCGGATGGCTAATGCTTGTTTTTCACGTTTTCTCGGATTATTCTTCGCTTGGAATATGAATTTGGTTAAAAAAAAAAGGGTAATATCTGGAAGTTTATTATGGTATATATTTTCTTGGCTTGAATAGAAAATTGGATTGAATAGTTAGGAATTTAATTAAATTAAATTTGATTTTTTCTCGGCTCACCAGTTGCAAAGCTCGTCTCCTGTATTCCCAGATACTAAAAGTGTAATTCTTATCGATGTTGGAAGGCAAAGGGTGGAGGTCCGTTTGCACCCCCTGGTCGTTGTGAACTTTTAATCGAGGGCCTTGTTCCATTATCCTGGGACAAAAGTCACACGAGATCATTTATCGTCAATGTTTATTCTTCAGAACTTACTCCTCATTTTGGCCCATTGCCGAGATCTCTTCGTACAGCTGGAACAAGTGCACGTACTCGGGATTATTGCGAACAAAGTCCAGGGCTTCGTACGCGTATCTAAAAAGATAATAAAATTAGGATTACCCTGAATCGCCCTGCGGAGTGATAAAGTAAAAACATTTATGGGGGAATAATGAAAAAAAAAAACATTGGAAGAAGCGAGCTTCTCTGGGAGCACGATAAGATGGGACGTTCAATATTTACGTTTATTTTTTTTATTCTATTTATTTTTTTTTTTTGGTCTATGGAAAGTTTGCATACCTTGCCGGATCTCTGCCGAATCTTCTCGCGGCTTTTATTGAGCTGAAGGCAAAGTATTTCCCTCCACATTTTGCCACCCCGATATTCGGGTTTCCCGGGATAAGGACTCCTCTCCCGACTGCCAAGGACCAAGCACAGAACCCTAAAAACTACGATTTATCAGTGAATCGAGGATTATTTTTTAATAAGGAAAATGCTAGACTACTAAATGGGATTGAAAAGCTTAAAATGGCGCAAAGTATCCGGACAAGGGGAAATCTTTTCGAATACTCGGCTGCAATTCTTGCATCGACCGTGCAGCTGCTCGAGTCGTAAAAACTTCCGGTACGAGGCCAATAACACTTAAATTGCGAAAAGAGTTAATGGTTTCTTTCGGCTCGAAGTGTCCTTGGAGTTTCTTTTTGCTATTTCTCTTTTTCTTTTTTTCAAGGAAACGGGAAGAAAGCACCGTAAATGCAACCGGAGTCTCGAACAATGCGCCGCGCACGATTGTCATAAACGTTTCGCTTCAATGTCCTTGTTAATTAAATTGAAAATTTCATTCGAAGATTATATAGTTATGGGTATTTTATCGGGGGTTTTCAGTGGTGATTTTTATCCCGGTGATTCTGGGGACAATTTGCGGGGGGTACCTCCAAATTAATCTTGTCGAAATCCTTGGTGACGTTGGGGTAGAAAATGGAGCATTCCCCGCATTCCGCTGAAATTGAGCACGTTAATCCCTGGGAACTATCTCGGAAATGTTTAATTTAACGCCGATTCCGCATTGTATCGGTCTCGTGGGCATTACTTATCGATTTGCCAATGAGGAGCTCCAGTCTCTCGGCATCTGACAAAACTTCGCCGCCCTTAAGCAGATCCTCTAGGCGCGCTTCGTCGTATACATTGACGTGCTGAAATGCAAATTATCGAGAAATTATTCCCCCACGATACCGGCCCATTACGAGATCGAAATTTCCGGTACGAAGAACCGAACGCAGGGGAACGTATTTTCTGAAGAATTTTTCATGACAATAAGATCGACCGGCCATTTCTGAAGTTAATATTTTCAGGGGGGTACTTGTCTCTTGAAATTATCGAAAGCAAGGCCTGGGGTCATTTCATGGGGGGAATAGGTTGGGAAAAAAGAAAAGAGGAATACATTCGGCAATTTTACGACCGCCTTCACCTTTACGGTTAAACTCTGCAGCTGCCAGAGGAAGTTGTTAATGTGGCTCAAGACGATCACCTCGTCTTGCAGACTCATCCAAATGTCGGCAAGGTCTATGAACTGGGGCTGCAAGTGCAAATGGTCGAAGGGAATAATTATATTCCAGCCGGGGGGAATTAATTAGTCGTTTTGGAAGGACTCACGTAAACTTGCGTGGTCGGGATAGCCGTTCGATGTCGCACGGTGTCGTGGAGCTTAAAAAGTCGACCCTGAAGTCGTTCCATGAGACCCTCGACCTCGTTCTCGCAAAATTCCACGTCGGTCAGGAGTTTCCTTAAAAAGAGAAAAATCTCCCAGCTAGAATGTCCTCCAGAAATTGCTCCTGCCTATGATCGTCTTTTGCAGTTTCTTATTGTTTTTCTCGCATCCGCGAAAAAAGAATCCTGGAAAATGTGTACCTCACTGATATATGGTTAATTGAGAGTTTAAGGAAAAATTAATTCCTCGAATGTTTCATTTTTCCTTAATGTTTAGCCTTTAGAAAGGACGCTGTTTCAAATGCGCTTTGTGGATGACGTTTTCTCTCCGGGGCGTGTCTTTAATTTTTCAAATATATTCACGTATGATTTCTTTATACATTATTGTATGCTTGTATTTATTTTTAACGTCCATTTATTATCCAGGCACCTGATGTAAATCTCCTGTTGACGGCTCGCAGCGAGCATTTCAATAGCCCAGTCGACGTCTTCCTGACATACTCGGGATGGAAACTTCGGACGGCAAACCTCGTCATCGTCGTCGTCTGGTGGAATTGACATCGTGTTCTCCACAGCTGCCGTGAATTTGTACACCTTCTTCATCAACTTCTCCAGCAGCTCCAGGATCGAATTTCGAGTCCTGGAGACCGCCTGCTGCAGGATACTGGGCACTGCACATTACTTCGGGTGAGAGCATTTATAGCCTCGCTTATAAGAGATTAATTACAATAAATTAAATGTTAAAAGTATTCCCAAAGTGTATACCTTCGCTACGTAAGATTCGAATAACGTAAATAAAAATAGAATATTAATATGACATGCAAACCTCGGAAATTGTCCAGGGAAATGATTACACGTGGGTACTGAACTTACAGCGTTCGTTTATCAGATATGTATGAAGGAAATTCTTATATCACGAAACTCGGTAAAAGATGTTAATAAATTACAATGTATTTATTAACAGCGCAGAAAAGGGAGAGAATTTTTGCTCACAGTCGTCGATCCCTTCGCCACCTCGTTGACAATCCCTGTTAAAAAGTCGTATACCGGAGACTATGCACATCAACTCCATCAATTGTTCCTCTTTTTCACGTTTTGGCAAATTGACGTAACGTGTCAGCTCCGATGGGAGATAGACACTTTGCAAGGAAAGGGCGACTTCCCTGAAAATACAAATCCTCGAAATAAACGTGTAATTCCACGATTATGATTTTGGGAAATCGCGCAGGAATATGTTGGTACACTTGCGTTGGAATAATTTTTTTTTTTTAATTTATAAAGTGTGTAAATTAAATGTGAGAATATTTTTTAAACGTACATGTGAAGTGTTTCAGGGATACAGAGATTATTTGAAGCTTTACCTCAGGACTGCAGGAACGGTTGGATTTCCGAGGCCACTAAGCAGAGTGATAACGACCAGCATCTTTTGATAAAGCCTTTCGACATCGCGGTCGGTAGATAATCTTTCGGTCTCGCAGATTTCCAAGATGAGGGGTCCAGTTTTCTTGTGCAGAGAAAGTCTGTGCCTTTTGATGACTTCATCTGCTCGGAAGAAAGCTCGTCTTTCAGCGAGGATTTATCAGGTGCCTTATCACCGTTAATGCTCACCTCTGCTATTATAGTGCTTCGCGAAGTACAACTGGATCCTTAATGTCACTAGACTTGGCCTTTGCTGGTCTAAAAGCTTCTCCGTCACTACTTCGACGATTTTAGCCGAGTCGACGTCGTCCTCGGGGTGCACATGATAAACCGGGCTCAAATTGCACAGATTAAGCTGATAACGAATCTCGATATATTTAACTAAATTGACGTATCAAATTAATATAAATTATGTTAAGTATCTGGAATTTTACCAGAAAGGATATCAAATCACTTGGCACGTTGACTTCCCTCTCTTCGCAGAAATTCCCGATCTTCCGAACCATGTTCTTTTTCAAAAGGTCCATTTTTAATTGACAAGCCCAGAATCAGTCCTGCCGAAACGTCAACGCTGCTTTGGCCGCATTAACTGTCAAATTCAAAGCCGAGTTGAACTTCGTGCGCGATAAGTTTGGTCGATATGCTCCTGGATACGTAATAATTGTCGCGTGTACAGAGTTATTGTCCCGGCAATTTCGTCCGCCCCACTGAAAGCTGGCAATTTGCATCGGGATATACGACCAACCGATTCAAAGAAGGCCTCGATATTCGCAACCCTCGGTATACATAAAACTCCCGAATTATTATGCGTAAACTGTCAAAACCCTTTTTAGATCGAGTCGTGACCGGCGCGTGGTTTGAAATTTCGCGCGTAGGCTCGCAGGGGCGTTCGGCCGAGCTCGGGCGTCCTCGGGCGTCTTCGGGTCGGCGGGATAGGGGGCGCGGCCGACTTCACGCTGGTCGCGACGGTCCGTTGTTCCGCGCAGCCAGTCGGGCTGGGACGTCTGATCGGAGTGGGTGTCGGTTCGTTCGAGTGGTCGCGACCGAGAGAGCGAGAGAGAGGGACGAGGGGACAATTGCCGTAAGCATGCTCGCGTGAGACGGCGAATCGAAGCGCAGCGCGAAACATGGCCAGTGATATTTGGTGGTGGGCCCACGCGCGGCCAGTCAGGTGCGCCGCCGGCCAGGTGCAGTGGAAATCGGTGCTCCTATTGGTGCTCCTCGTCGCGATTGCCGTCGTACCTGCCGCACGAGCAGCTCGTCAAGGTAAGCCACGGCTCTGACAGCTCGAACAACGCCATCGATTCACGCCACTAGCGAGATATCGAAACCACGAGACGGTTCGCGCGCTCTCCCCCCACGCTCGTTTTTCTAACCTAACCTTGACTCCCAGCATATATTTTTCCAAGCACTCTACCCGTTTTTTCTTTTTTTTTTTTCTTCTTTCAATCCTTCCCGGTAACTAATTCACCTTTCACGTAAAATTAGTTATTTCCTAAAGGCGCATTTAAATATTAACGAAATTCGGATGGCGAACGTTTCGACCTGTAGCTACCTTGGCCCACGTGGGTAGAGGTTAGGTCTGTATATGTATATATGCATATGTATACTTTTTAATAATTATATAAGGGATAGGATTTTCCACGGGGGGTGTGACGCACATAATGTGCGTGTTTATGGAATTAACCAGTTTTGAAGGAAATATTCAAAATCGAACCGTGAGTCATGCCGAACCACGTGGACAGGACTCGGAATGGGTTCTTAGGTTCCTTTTCTTTTCTTTTTTTTTTCTTTATCATTCGAACGGTTTCTACCTTGAACGTTCGTTACCGTAGGTTGTAGAGGTACTTTCTCTGGGGGGAATAATTTACTTGGTAATTACGACGGCGTATTTCAAGGGGAAAAAAAGTAATCAAGTGCTGAAACGGTAGTTAGGTATGAATCACCGTGAAACATACGGAAAGGTTATTTCGGAAGGTTATTCGTAAGTTTATTGTCTCTTTGTTTTGATAGCTCTACCATTCTCAGGCGTTTTATTTATCAACATTTTAATTATCAAGTGGAATATAAATCAACATAAAAGCCAGGAAGAATAATTTTGGATAGGTTGTTTACGATATCATTGTCCTTTGTCTTTTTTTTATTGTCAGTGTCCAGTCTTAGGCACTTTATTTTAGTGCAGATTTTCGGCCGATCGTATTATTATTAACGCGAAAATGCATTTCTTTCCCTTCCGCGGAAACGTGGGAGCGTTCCACGCCAAGTACGCCGGACATGCACTGCAATTGCATCCTAATTGCGTTTTACCTACTTAAGCAAATAACGACGCTTCCCACTCGAAGGTTTATCCGATTACCGGGCGTAATGTCGTGAAAGTTGCACCTGTACCTCTTCATTTATATACGATTAAATGATGACAATTGAATTAAGAAAATCAGATCGTTCAAAACGATTGAATTAGGAAAATCAGATCGTTACACTTTGGCCATTTATTCCTGCCGAGAAGAAACATCCGGACCAATATTCCTAATGTTGAATCATCTCAAAAGTGTTTCGACAACTCTATCGTTAAATTATCCCGAAAAGGGCGCACTAGATTTACGGGGAAAATCCAGCAAAAAAAAAAAAGGTCCCAGAGGACACGAATTATCGTCACAGTTCGAATGCCGAATGAAGCGCATCATGGGATGCACCGTCGATGCAATTAGGGGACGTAACGAGGGGGGAACGTCGTTAATGCCGAACGATGTATGAAGGGTCGAGGAGGGTAAGTGCAATAAATCGGGCCAGGGGGAGGAAATATCGATTAAAATCGCGGAAAAAGCCGGCTTTTAAAAAATATCGGTTCGCCGGCGTGGTTGGTGGTAATGCTTCGGTTTTTTTTCCCCCTCCACCTCTCTTCCTATTTTTTCCCCCCGTTTTGCTGCGTTTTTCTATGCGAGCCGTGTGATTGAAATTGCATTAAAAAACATGCCCGGGGGGCTTTTAATCGGCCTCGGGTGGCCGCGTTACTTTGAACGAATTTTTCGCGTTTTCGATTGCTCGGGATGGTTGACATTTTTTTTTTTCATTTTATTTTCCTTCTTTTTTTTCCTCCCGATTAACTCGAGGTTGCGACCCAAGAGGTGCTTCTCATCTCGCTCTTTATCTTTCCCCGGAAGTGAGCCTCGAAGATGATGTGCTGATGCGAAATTCGATTTTTTTTTCATTATTTATTTTATTTTTATGCGAATTAAAGGTGAACGCATTTTTTTTCGTCGTTCCTCCACCGAGCTTCGATTTTCCATTTGCAATCTCTTTTTTCTTGCTTTTGTTTTTTTGGGAGATGTGTTAGATTTTTTTTCTGACGGTCTAAGTGTACTCGCGAGAATTTTTATTTGGATTCAACGATCAGGGGTGGTCTTTTCCATTTTATTCCTAGATGCCAACGAATCTGTATGATTCCACCCCGGTTTCGAATTGCAGGAATAATAGTGCCCTAGGACACGAACTTGTGATAAAGTGCCGCGCCATTATCATAAATTCGATCCACCGTCCCTGATACCGCGTTTCTCGACGACTTGGCCTCGTCGTTTTATCGGGTCGTTTCAAAATATAATTATCGTCCCTCGGTCAGTCATGCTTTATCACGGCCACGTATAATTAAGCTTCGGAAGAGTCATCCGGAGTATCGGGGAGAAATTACTGCAATGTAGCAATTTCGTCGAGTATTATCTTTAATGTAGTCACTCTCTTAACTGGATGGACGTTGACAAATTTCTGGAAGAATTTAAATCACCGGTTGGAAAAAGGAGTACGGGTGAATTTACGCGAAAGATGGAAAAATTAACTGGGAGTTTCATTTAAAAGTACGTGCCGTGCGTTTTCCAGGAAAGAAAAAAAAAAAGAAAAAAAGAAAATTGTTAATTACTTCCTGGTAATTGAATTTTTTTAAGGGGTCCATCATTAAGGTTTATGTATGATGATTCGATTTACGAGGCTTCTGGTATTGCAAATGATCGTTAACGCAAGGGAAGAGACGTGGGATCGAATTATATCGATTGATCGTACTTAAGGGATGTCGAAGGTGGGATCGATCGATCGGATCGATCGTCGATCGAACGGCTCGCCGCGTTCGCCTTCTTGACGCACGGTCGATGAGGCAACATCCGGCATTGGAAAATCGATCGATCGTACGTGACGATCGATCCGGTCTACGTGGACATTTTTCTAAATCGAGGGCCAATTTTCGAGAATGCTCTTTTAAGCGGAAATCCTGCTACGAGGAGGCCCCAGGAAATTCCTACTTTTGCGAATGTTAACCCTTTGGCACTCGAGAGGGTGACTCTGATTGTCAATGACCACGTGGTCCGATGGTTCACCATTAAAAAAAAAAAAAAATCCTACGCACCTGCCATTTATTCCAGACCGTTTCCCAGTTTCTCCGCGGTATTTTTTTTATTGTTCTCCCTCGTCCCAGAGAGTTACGCCTCCCATCTGTCGATATACATTTTTCCCCCGTTTTCTTTTTTTTTTTCTTTTTTCCTTTTTTTCATGCTCATCGACGTCGGGGGTCGTCGAACACGAAGAGTCACCCACTTCCGGTGCTCGATGACTCGTTAACGCTCGCCTCGACCCATGACCGATTAATAAGAAGCCTCTTCCCTTTCCCCCCCCGTGATAAATACATTTCGCCGATATTACCGGAGGCCATAGTTCGGCCCGTCTCTCTTATGGCCGGAGGTCCCATGTAGGTTTATATGGGTTCATGTCGGTTTATGTCGGTCTATATCGGCTTATATCGGTTTATATCGGCTTATATCGGTTTATATCGGCTTATATCGGTCCATAAGGCGCCCCATTGTCCGCCAGTGGGTAAACCCTATTCCGGACGTTCGATAGCAGGAAGTTTCTCGGCTAAGTGTCACTCCTAATGGCGATACTCTCGAATTACGTCCCGATATTGTCCTTAAGTACCTCCCTGCTCGTTTCCCCCTAAATCCCCGTAAAAATGACGCTAATTAACGCGTTGTCCAAAAAAAAAAAAAAAAAATACCAACTAATCTTCACCGATCTATGCATATTATTTCTTTATCATTTATTCGCCAAGGGTGAGCACATATCCTCGTGGTTGGATATGATGGTTCTTGGGTGAAGTAATCTCTGCCATGGGGTGGAATTAAAATGGTTTAATTAGATTTAGGGATGTAAGGATGTTTCTGTATTTTTTTTTCTTTTCTTTTTCTCTTGTGGAGGAGAAAGGACTTGGAGTTGGTGTAGGTAGTTTTAGTTAATTTCAGTTATTTTCATTTAATTATGATTTTAGTATCATAGACTCGAACGGTTCCGGGTAAAATAAGACGTCCCCCGGTCCGTTCATTCAAACGCGAATTTCGGGGATTTATTTATTTTTTTTCTTTCTTTTTCACGACATGAAAATGACTTTTTCGCGAGATAGAAAATTGAAGATCGAGCGGAAGGGAAAACTTCGGACGGTGGAAACGTAATCGTACGTGGTGCCGTACCATTTTTTCATGAAAGTTACGTGGAAGATGAAGGGAAGATAAAAGATCAGATGAAAAGTGAAGAGAATGAGATAAGAAATATTTTCTCGGCCATCGGTCACGGGTGTTCCTTTTCCGGGATTTTTGGAAGGACCGCCAGGGTCGCAGGATATTAGGGATTCGGGATTGCAGGCGCGTACTTATCCTAGGAATCTAGTCGTCTCCACGAGTATCCGATCAGCTGATCGCCGTGAGTACGTGGGATGGAATTCGGAAGTGGCCGGAATCCATTCGTCATTGCTCGCGGTAATACGGCGCCTAGAAGACTAGTCATCGGTCTGACTAAACCACGAGAGGGCATCTTTCATTTGCGCAACATCCTATGTGTCGCACGTACTTCCCGGTAATCCCCCGTATGTCGGTTAGGACGCAAATTGGATTTTTCATTGACGACTCGCAAGACCCGTCGACGCGGTATGCAAATTCGGAATCAGAAACTCGTTCTTATACGGCGCATCGCCGGAGGCGTGACACTCGTGTAATCCACGTATGTCGATGTACACACCCGTATTAAGCGAGAAAGTTTGCGCTCGTTAGTTTCACGGTTTGCGTGTAAGAAAATTGCGAAAAAAAAAGAAGAAAGAACATCTGCAAGTTCCCTTCGCTCGAAGGAATTGCATTTTTTTCTTTTTTTTTTTTTTTTTAGAGAGAGATCAATCGAATGCAATCGATCGGACGATTATCGTTAAATCAACCGAATTTTCATTTTTTCTTAGGGTTTGATAACGGAGGTTGGGGAAATTATGAAAAGCTCGTTGTTTGGCCGAAAAACCCGGGTAATGTAATGGGCCGAGGAGGCGCGGTGACAATTGCATTTCGCGACAATCTCGGGGTTTATACGAAGTGCAGTTGCACGACTTGCTAGTAGTTA